ACCTTCTAGGTGCCACCCTGGACTGTGGTAAACTGACAGCCATTACCCAACCCCCACTGGCATCACTTCAACTTCTTTCGAGAGAGGTCAAGATTCAGATCTCTTTTTTCATGAAAATCTCCTGGTTTTTAATTTTTTGGCAACAAACTCAAATCATTTTAAAATATTGCATAAACCGATCAACCGTCTGCTGTCTGGATGTAGCCTAGGCCTAGACCATCAGTTTCTGACTCCGGGTCCACAGGGATGAAAGCTCTGGGGTCCTCCTTCCCCACCCTGAGGCACAGACAGGAGAATAGAAAGCTAGTAACAGGATTGGATTTGCCTTGAGAAAAAGCACAAGAACCTTCCTAGGGAAATACAAAATACAAAAATACCCTTGCCAGAACTTGTAAGACATTTTTTCTTGCTGCTTACTGAATTTGCTGTTAATGCTGCATAGTTTAGGCGCCGAGAAGACAAGTCGCCAATCACATTGGAAGATGGGTATATGTTCTCTAACGAGAAAGCACCACTTGCTGTTAATAGCACTGCTATCTACCTGTGGGTTATCCGCAAAGTCTAAAGGATTAGTATTTTTGGTAAACTGAGCATAGGTTATGACTACCCCACTTCTATGTTTCATTTGAAAAGTACCTAGTCCTGTCAATAACCTGAAGTTTTTGTGGATGACAAAAGGTAAGTTTGCATTCTGCTTTGCCATATGTCATAGCAAAATTGCCAGCCAGCACCCCACGTCTTCAACTCTTTATTGTTAGTAAGGAGGTACTAAAGGGAAAGAACAGGGCTCAATTTTTTGGATTCTAAATTGAGCCTTCAGAGCTCAGGGTTGGGGAAAAAAACCTGGAACAGATGTAGCACAAGAGGCAAGACGTCCTTTGTTAAGGAGAAATTTTTCTTGCAACCACTTGAAGCTCTAAGAAAGCACAGGTATTAGCTGCGTTCCCCGAGGTCCACTACATGTTGATTATCTCCAAAACCTCAGTGACATGCAGAGAAAAACAGTGTATTCTGGTGAGTGTGCCCTTATTTGGAAAATAAAATTCCCTAGGGACTTTAAATCAATAATTTTAAGTCACTACATGATAAAAGGAAGTCCCCTCCTATGGAGGAAAGCGGTATCTTAGTTTATGGGGTTGCCCCTGAAATTAACCAGAGAAAGGGAATCTGATATACACTGGGTATAATTTCATTATGACCTACACTTCTCTTTTTTTCTTTCTACCATCACTCTTTTTATTGTCAGAGACCAAAAGATCCTTCCCAACTACCTTGTAGCTAGATTTTCAGAGATTAAATAAAAGCAGTTAGACCTGAGTTATCCAATAACCACAGGGAGGTTTTCTTTCTATTTCTGCAAGAAACACTTAAAGATCATCTTGTTTTATTAACATTAATACATTTATTGGGCATCTATGTGTGCCAGGCCCCATGCTGGGTCCGTGGATAAGAGAGAAGAGTAAGAGAAGAGTCTTTGCCATTTAGAAACTTTCTACTGAGAAAGGGGAAAGCACTGCAAATCCCCCAGATAAAGAATTTGAACTTATAGTAACGAAGCAAGAGGAAACAAGTAATTTGAAAGAAAAATAAATCTTCAGCCTTGAGGAAGTTATTTGAGAAACAGTCACTCAAGATAGTTGATGGAGATACTGTAGCTTGGCTGTATAGCATATCATAAATGTCCAGGATAGAGATGGAAGGAAGCTATATTGTGGAAGGTGTAGTTGTGTGGACTTAAAGAATACACGGATTAGGAATTTCTCTGCTCTAAAGTATGAAACAAAATGTTAGAGGAGAGACTGAGTGCAAGAAAATCTGTAGTCTTTAAAATGCAACATTGACAGCAAGCACATTCATTCGTTTTAATTAACAAGTCAATACTGGACACATACTGTCTGCCAACCCCTGAGAGAGGCCCTGGGTTCACTAGGTAGACGGGAACAAACCCAACAGTCATGCTCTCCCCTCTCGCCATCCCAGCACAGCCCACAATAAACTGCTTGCTTAGTCACTCTCTGGCCAGAAGTGTTCAAATTGGTTTTGGTTTTGGTCATTTAATTTAGGGAATTTTCCCTCCTGAAAACACATTACTCATTTATAATGTTACATACTATCTTTTCTAGGATGAGGCAGGGATGAATAAATTTAAAAATACAATGAAAATCAATGAGAAATTCTGACTTTCCTTAAGGACAGTAACTTAAACATCCACCCTCAAAAGCACATGTTATCCTTACAATAAGGGTTGGGTTATTTTTTAATAGCATATCTTAAGTTTCTTCATTTAATTAAAAATATAATTAAGCAGGGGAAAAATGGCCCATAAGCCTAGTGGCCAGATAATCCCTGATGTAACTGTTCATTTTCTTAAAAGTATTACAGAAAACTAAGTTTTCTGTCACTGTGTAATAAATGACCACAAACTTAGCAGCATTAAACAACACCCATTTATTAGCTCACGGTTCTGTTGGTCAGAAACCCAGCATGATGGGGTTGAGTTCTATGCTCAGTATATCCAAGGCTAGTATCAAGGTATTAGCTGGACTGAGTCCTTGTCTGGAGGCTCTGAGGAAAAATATGCTTCCAAGCTCATTCTAGTTAGCAGAACTCAGTTCCCTGCAGTTGTAGGACAGAGGTCTCCATTTCCTAGCTGGCTATCAATCAGGGACTGCTCTCAGCTCCTAGAGGCTGCTCACTTCCCTTACCATGTAATCCCCTCCATCTTCATGCCAGCAATGGACATTCAATCCTTCGTGTTCTTTGAATCTCTGACTTCTTCTTCCTTTTGTTCTTCTTTCAACCCCCTCCCTTCCTCTTCCAGCCAAAGAAAACTCTGTCTTTAAAGGGCTCCTGTGATTAGGTCAGGACTACCTGGATAATCTCTCTTAAAGTAAATTATATCATATAACATGGATAAAATCACAAGAGTAAAATCCATCATATCCACAGATTTGAAGATTATGCAAGGCACGTAATCCAGGGAAGTGGGAAATCTTGGGTCTATCTTAGAGTTTTGCCTACACATAACACAGCATGGTGAGGAAATTCAAATGATGTGAAGAGGTCCATATTCAATGAAAATTGAAGCCAGCGCTTTCCCACTTCTTCCATCATATTCCAGTAGTAACCATGGTCAATGGTTTTCCTACCTATCCTTCTAGGAAAAAAATATAAAAGACATATATGCATCTCTATATTTTCTCTGTATATTTAAGTATCCAGGATCTTCTTGCACCTAGCTGTTCTCGTGTACTCTCTCAAGGTACTCCTTCCTTAGTGGCAAATGTGGGTCTACATTATTCTTTTTCACAGCTACACAGGAGGAGATTTTTATTTCTTTAATAATTACATAAGAATAAGCAAAGGGATCAGCAATGAATCATCCCTAAGATGAAGACAGATTATTTATGATTCCAAGGATTTTTAAACTGTGGAGACAGTTTGCAGAAAACCCATTGTTCTTTCTTAGAGCAGATGGATTCTCCTGGAGTCCCTATTTTGGAAGAGAATCAACTAATTTCTCTCCAAAGTAAATTTAAATAATCACTTCTGGAGAAAGTGATCTATAAGGATTTTAACAGAATTTCCTCACATGTAAAGGAAAGGTCCATAAAAAGCAGAAAGATGAGGAGGAAAAGGAAGGGGACGGGAAGAAGGGAAGGCGGAGAGGAGGAGGAGAAAGAGGAAGAGAAGGAAGAAAATAGAAAAGTAGAATAAACCAGTTGAAATTAAACTGAAGTCAGGAATTCATCTATGCTTCAGGACAGGAATAAGTTCGACCCTCTGACCATTACCTCATCTTTTCTCCATAGCAACACCAAAGAAATAAAATGTATTTTATTTCTTTTTTTCCACAAAAGATGCATTTCTTTCTAATTATTGTCATTCTAAAGTTCTTAAACTACAATGTTTGATCTATGGCTTTAGAATACCAATTTTTCATATCTGTTTCTTCTAAGTACAAAAAGACAAAGAGACTTCCACTACATTTCATTGTTCTTTGAATGGGACTAGACATTAAAAAAAATAGATTTACATTACTAGTCATAACTTTCAACTCTTAAAGCTCCCACAAAACTCATATATTCAATTTTTTCTACAGAAGTGACAAGTTGCTCTGCTTTCATCAATTTAAATGAAAACACAGTAAACAATAATAATGGTCCCAATTTCCATGAGCATTTTCTCTGCGTGAGGAGTCCATGAGCTGAAAGTTTCTCTGCAGAACTTGGTCCACGGCTCTGAAATGGAGATGGACTATAAACATCATGTGAACACTCATGAATTTGTGTTAATACCTGAAGAACGTGTGATTTGTTCTTCAAATCAGAATTCCTCATCTCCACTCTAGAGAGATGTCCTAAAAGCACATCCCTAAAGGTTGCCTACAGGGACACAGAGGAGGACACTTTCATAGTAACTTATCAGCGATTTAAGAACAAGCCCCAAGATTATATAAGGCAATTGCTAGCTAGACAAATTACAACAGAGAAGCTATGAAGAAATCCCATACTGCACTTAGACCCAGGCAAGCAGGAACCCTGTCCTGTGCCTGCTCCTCAGGGAGCCCCATCCATTAAAGTACCTTCTAAGAAATTAAGTTCCCCGCTGGTGCCTGGGACCAGCCAGGGCTGGTGTCATCAGACAGGATGACTCAGATCAGATCAGGACCCTGTGTGGGTCCCAGTCTCCATTTCCCCTTTTCAGAGTATCAAACCTCTATCCCCTACAAGCAGTAGACCAGATGCCCCCAGAAACCTTCAGGAGGGAAATCCTGCCAGTCAGCAGAGTATTTCTTTTATGAAGGTGTGAGAGTCTGGATGAGATCAGGCACTCTGAAATAGTACTGACACACTAATTTGAGGAAATTCACATCTCTGAGGGACACAGGACAAGTTTAGGGCTCTGGGATACTGATGGTACCACCAATCCCTGGGCTTGAGATACCCATGTGAGCTGGTACAAGAGTTCTTCAAACAGAGATGCCACCTCCAGTCTGTAGCACCAAGAAAGCAAGATGGCAGCAGGTGTCCTTACCCAGGGCTGTCATTCCACTTCCTCAGAATCCATACCATGAGTCAGGCTGTTTTCCCACAGTTGCTTCTGTAATCTCTTCCAAGAGCTTTGGAGAACTTTGTTCCCCTGTGTCCAGTGATTCTTCTGATCCATGTCCTCTCTTTCCTTACATCATGTGTTGATGTTTGTTCCCTGCCAGGCTAGTCTTAAGCCATGCTAAATGAAGGATGGACATTTCTTGTTCAAATGGGACCACTCTTCCTGTCCCCATGAGTCTTATCTATCTTCTCCATGAGTTGGAAGTGATAGAAGGCAGGGACACAGCCAACATTGAAACAGATCATACTGTAGGAAAGCTGTGGGCACCTCCTAAAGAGTTGAAGAGAAGCCATAATTGGAAGATGTATCATTCTATATTTATGCTATAAAATTTTGAACACTAAATTTGGCATAACCAGAAAACAAATTATCATTCACATTTTCCTGCATATACCATATAAGACTTGCATTTGTGGTTATCATCAACAAAGCATAGTAACAACCTTTGAGACAGTCGGGAATTCAGTGTTCATACCATGATGGATGATACGGAATCATGAGTAATGATATAAGCAGCTTTAAATAAATGGTCTTAGGAACTACAAAGGCAAGAAGATCTATATTGCTTCAATTCAGACAAGATCTGAAGAGTCATGGCTTTGTGAATAACAGCATTGCTACCTTTTTCTCAAATGATGGGAGATATGAAATTAGCCAGGAACCATTCATTTGACAATAAAAAACAAGAAGATAATAGCACATAGCTACTAGCTAATATAAAAAATATTTACATGCAATGATCAGACAGTAAGCAAATGTGTAAATAGCTCTACTTTATCCATTAATCTGAAGATTTATTGAAAATTACCGTAACTTACATAGACCTATGAATTTTATAACACTTTTTTAAATCAAGTTTTTATATAGACAGAGACCCTATAGAAAAGATTTCCCTGGGACACTTTATATCCTAGGGATGGCCTTGAGGAGAATTCCTGAGAAAGGGTAGGAGGTAATTTACCAACATACAATTTCATCTTTTCTCAATATGGATACAGATTTCACATTACATGGTTTAGGAATCTGCATGTCTTAATTTAGCAAATATTTTATACACACAATGAGATAACTACCATTATGCATTGCAAAGACTTGGGGACTTTTGCAATGTTTTTTTGTGGGGTATTTTTTTTTTTTTTGGTAGCTGTATGCTTTTGTATTTTCCCTGCTTGAAGATAATTCTCAATTACTCAGTTTTGACTTATTCATTTAGTAAATTAAGTGCATAAAATAAATGCTTTATTTCTAGATTGTCTGACCTCCAACTTGAGTATTTTTAGATGGCCTTACTATGTCATTAGTTGGTAGAAACTCAGACAATGTAAATTAATTTTTATGTTAGCCTTAAACATTTTAACTATGGAAGAAAATTTGCTCTAACAATCAGATAAATGCATGCTAACATATCAGATTATTTCTGAAATACCAATCATTTGGATTATCTTTGCCTTTTATATGAAACATATATAATTGAGGTTTAACCATTTTAAGGCTTCCATTACATCAGTGGTATGTTTTTTCAAACATCACTCATATTTGTACCTATAAAAAATTACATATTCACTGGTAATTAACAACTAACCTGGTCAAATAATTATTTGGCCAAACTATTAAAAGAGGTTGATAGTGGAAGTTCTAGTTCCAGTTGAAGAAATCATGGTTTATTTCTAAAAATGGGCAAAAAAACAATTAGGAAAAGAAAATCAGAAAAAAAAAATTTTAAATCAATATATTAAGCCAACTCAGACATGATATAGTCCTTCTATAAGCATGTGTCCTTCCTCTTACCCAATAATGTTTTACCCTGCCAGATTCGGACTTAGAAAAATGCTACTAGCAATGCTTGAGCTAATCAAAGTAAATATTTTCTTCTCCTGGGCTTTTAAAATGTCAAATTCCATTGAATTTCCTTTCAGTGAATCTTACAAATATGAAAAAGAATAAAATATTCTAAGAACACAGCACATTAAAATGTAAAATCTGAAGTTCATTTTTATATTCCAAATTTTTGTCTAATATGAAACTTAAAGGCAAACATTGCATCAGTGCCACCATTCTTGTTTTCAAAACTTTAACAGATTTTTCATTTAGATGAGATGGTTATAAAATGCATGTGGGCCAAAGAGAAAATAGTAGGGCATAATTCAGATTTTCTGAAGTAGTTCTTTTTCTTTTGACTCACCAAGTCTTGCCTCCCTCCTTCGTATCAGACAGGATACGAAGTACCTAACTTTCAAAGATCTATCTAACAATTTTAAGTGGCATGATAATCATATGGTGAGTGAGGAATGGATTTTGAATAAGGACATCAGTAGCTACAATAATTACATCTGCTTTCTTAGTAATGAACAGCAGTTCCAAGCTTTTTTGTTTGGAGTTTCAACAACAAAATGTGTTTATATTTTCTTAAAAAGCACTGGCCTTTTTGGAATGAAATCCCTGGGAAATAGCCCTAAAATGTGAAAGTCTGTGATCTTCACAAATAAACCATAAGTCGTACCATATTAAAAACAATCACCTGAAGAGTACCTGAGCGGCTCAGTCGGTTAAGCATCTGACTCTTGATCTTGGCTCAGGTCATGATCTCAGGGTCATGAGATCGAGCCCTGCATCGGGGCTCCAGGCTGAGTGTGAAGCCTGCTTAAGATTCTCTCTGTCCCTCTTCCTCTGAACCCCCCCCCCCCCCCCCCGCTCCTGCTCTCACTCTCAGGCACTTGCACGTTCTCTCTCTCTGTCAAAAAACCCGAAACAAAATAATACCTGACTTTTCAGGCACACTGACCTTCAAGTGGATGCATCCCAAAGATTAAATGCTAACAGCTTTACATCCTCCGAATCTAGCAAAAATCATCTGTGAACATAAAGAAATTGAACCAAAATGATGGCTAAATAGAAAATAGCAGGGGCATCTGGAGGGGGTTCAGTCGGTTAAGTGACCAACTCTTGGTTTCAGCTCAGGTCATGATCTCAGGGTCCTGGGATTGAGCCCCAAGTGGGGCTCCCATTCAGTGGGGAGTTGGCTTCAAGATTCTCTCTCCCTCTGCCCCTCCCCCTGCTCTCTCTCTCTCTTTCTCTCTCAATAAATAGATAAATCTTAAAAAAAAAAAAAGAAAATAGCAAGCACCTGCTTGCTTTAAAAGAAGGTTTTAGATTAATTAGAAGATATTGATTATAAATAAGCAATAACATGGTAGAAATAAATATCTAATTTCTTTAGACCAAAATATTGTATTGAGAATCAGTAATACTCAGTTTGGTACATCAATCAACATTTTTAGACATTATGTTTGGTTCAAAGCCCAGTTTTGATGTCTGTGAAGGGTTGAAACTTCCACTGTGGAGTCATGTATCTTTGCCCCACCCAACAGAAATAATTCCTTTAAAATATTTCTGTTCCCTGTGTCTTTTTTCATCACCTCTGTGTACGTTCTGTTTTTCTAAGCGGCAGGGTCAACTTGACATTTCCTGGAGGACTGAGCCTGTCAGCTAGAATCACTGTTCTTCCAGTTGCTGAATCAGCCCACCCTCCTACCACTAGCTGGTAGCAATTATAAGGAGACTTCCAAATTTTGCAAATTTTTTGTCTGGATAAGAATGGGTTCTACGCCAATTTCTTTAAAACTAGTACAGATTTTCAGACATTTATACAATCACCTTTCTAATGACAGAGGACCCTGAAAATACCAATCATTTCAGACATGGATGGACTACCTGATTCCAAGTGAAAATCTTTTCTCGTGTCACCCAGATGACCACCACATACTAAGGCCATAATGGCTATTCCTATTGTGGCAGGACACAGTTCTAACTTGAAAAGCAAAGCTTTTAGAAGGAGAACTATAAATAGAGTTAATATTAGACAAACCTACCAAAATGGAAAGAAGGGAGTAGGAATCAGTTGTTGAGTTCAAATTTCCAACCTTTGTGGCTTTGATACTCTGCCAACCATGCTTCTTTTGTGTAAGCTAATGGATAAAGGTTGCACAGAGAACAGTGCCGAACTGAAGAAATTTTTCTTCTGTTGCTGCAAAGGTTTATTAAGGATCAATAGAACAGACTTCAACAATTCGGAGACGGTCGTTTGTTTTCAGAGGAATTCTGGTTAATAATAGCAGTGTATTGGTTAATTCATCACAACAAAGTAAGTTAAAATATATGGGCAAACTGACTGTTGTAGGTCTGGACACCCTAAAATCAAAGACAAAGATAGCAGTTCCAGTGCATGTTTATTAAAGGGGCACTCTTCGGGGAAAGCTCTTCAGGGGAGGGTATGACAAGCAGAGGAGGAAGAAGAGAGGGCTGAGCAAGGGTGGGGTCCCCTAACCAGGCTAGTCTTGACCTGATCCATGAGATCACACCACAAGATGGATTATGACCCTCTCCTTTGATGCAAGGGGTTCAGCCTTTTGTAGCCCATATCCATCAATCATTGGCTGCTCCTGTTGGAAGATCATAACCTCTTGGGATATGCAGCTGCCAACAGCAATTCTCAGGAGGTGGGGGAGACAGCTATGGATCATTAGCAGCCAAAACTCACACCAGTTGGAGAAGGCTGATTCACTCAGAAATTCAAAAAATACCTAGGACTCTGGCAAATTTTAGTCAGACTGGAAAGGGTCACCTCTGGTATCAACAGGTGAAGTCATTGGGATGGAATGGCTGGCAATCTTACTCAGTTGCCTTTAATTATATTATACTCCATGACTTGTGCTTCCTTTGCTTGTTAACAATCTACAGCCTCTGACATAATGTATCCTTAACCTATTTTGGTGCTCTTAATTCAGAATTATTCCTTCTTCCCGCATGAAAGAAAAGCTGCCAATTTTGAAATATCCATTAAGTTAAGGGTACAAGGCAGAATGCTAACATTCAACTCAAAGGAAAAGAAGTAAGGCTCTATAAATCACAAAGCACAATTCTTTTTTTAGTGAAAGAATGAAGTTTTCCACTGAGAGATTTGGGGGGGAGTAGAAAGAAGTTTCCTCAGCTCAGGTGTAAGTTCTATTTGCATTCCGTGAGTCCTGTTACATGGACACCCTTCACCCAGTAAGAAATGTACACTCTGCTATGGTTTGTGACTGTCGCCATTTTTCAATTATGGGCATTAGAAATTCCAAACATGCTGTGAGTCATTTTTACCTTCTTTCCTCCCAGACGTTGTGCTGGAGATGGAGTGATTCGCATTTTCATTGTTGCTCTGTGGTGTACTGAAACAGTCAAAACAAATCTAAGTCTTTACTATCCAACAAGTAGATAGGAAATAAGAATCCAAAGGCTAGATAGTAATAAATTTGGTAGTCTTTACCCAGATGGGCTTTTGAAACCACAAAAAACTCAAACGTATTATTTGGTACCTCCAACTTTTCTCCACTCCATTTTGAGGTGATTAATTTCATCTGGATGTCTAGAGAACAGACAGCTTTATATTTGAATTCATTACAAAAACAGAGAAAGAAAGAAAAGATTTGCCTGTCTCTAAAGGAAAGTCCATCTCTTTCCCTTTTGACCTAATCAATAAGAGAAGCCATTAAATATAATGGCTTCAAAATCTTAACTAGAAATGCCAGTTTGGCCACAAAAGGCTTTGGTAAAAGGGCATGTGGGAATCCGTGGGGAGGGTCATCATTACAATAATCCAACCAGGATGGTTGGATTTCTGTACCTCTGAGTCCAGATATTTGTCCTGGATTCTGCAGCCAGCCAAGTCAGTGGGATATTTTTTTCTGAAGCAAACAAATCTCCCTGTTTCATACTGATCCAACCTAATTCTAGCCACCCAGCCTACACATTATATATTTCCTATTTTGAGAAAAACATTCCTGGAACAAGGAGTGGGCAGTGGACTCAATTCTATTTTCCACTAAATTAAGACACCTTACAGATAAGGAAAGTCACATTTTCTGTGACAGGAAAGAGGCAGAATACTTGCTGTGGTGAAAAAAAAAAATCACAAACCGAGAACCAGAGGATAAGAGGAAAATGGCAGATTGACTTCCGGTTAAAAGACAGCTGTAAGCTATTACAAGGCTCCCTCTGGCATGCTCCCTCATTCCTTGGCTCCATCAAAATCCATAAAGAAATAATTTCCCAAAAGCAGAGCAAAATTCCAGCTTTACAAGGGCTTCTAACCCTGGCCTCATACAATCAAGGCAAGACCTTCAAATTATAATTAGCTTTCATTGACCCTTCTCCAAAACATCTTTTAGTCTGGGAGCGACAAAAGCTGTCAGTCAGCATGACCAAATCACTGCTATTTTTATCAGGGCTCAGTGGCCATTCTTGTGGCCACAATTGTGTTCTGACCTTCTCTAGAGGGGGAGTACTGAGGATCAGTATAGTTTTGTTCACACTCAAATCAAGTTGATATGTCATGTCTGGGGATTAGAATCCTGACTTAAAGAGTAGATGGCAGCTTTTGGTTTTATTATTGGAGCAGGACAGTAAGACTTCATTTTTAATATTTGTTATTTAGTCGGGGGGGATCAGTGACTACATTTATGAAATGTATTCGTAAAGTAAGTAAGAAGGAGAGGAAGAAAAAGAAGACGAAAGAAGAAGAAGAAGAAAAAGAAGAAGAAGAAGAAGAAGAAAAGGGGTAGAAACTTCTTGTCAAAATTTTGCAAAGTTTACAAGGAGGCTAAGATTAGACCAGTTTTCTGAATTAGGACTAACACGAATTTACCTCTTTAATGAGCCGGAACTCAGCCTCCCGACAGAGAATTTTACCTCTTCCGAAATTCAACTGAGGAAAATGCAACTTAGGTGGACAGAAGTGCTAAAGCCAGAGGAACGGCCTCTTTGCTAATAGAATTAATTGACATTTGTTTCATGTTTAAAGGTTTCAGGCACTATTACGAGTTCAGTGCTAGTATGAAGTGTTATCACTTCCAGAACACAAGCTAGTCAATGGGATTAAAGCCCAGCTGGAACATTACTAGCTGTGTACCCCCAGAAAATGTATTTCTGGGTTTTTCTCCATGTTTTTTGTTTTTTCATTTGTAAAACGAGTGTTGGAAATAATCCCTATCTCACAGGTTGTCATAAAGTTAAAGGAGTTAGTTCATGTGAACCATTCAACATAGAATCTGACACATGGAAAGAGTTTAAATAAGTGTTGGCTATTACTATGATCTCTCTTGCTGAAGATGAAAAAGTGGAAGTCTAAAGGTTAAGTAGCTTTCTCAAGGTCACATAGTGAATAATGAGCAAAACTCGGATTTGAATTCAGGTGATCTATCTCCAAAGTTCGAGTGCTTACAGAGTAGACCTTAACACCTCCCTGACAAGCATGTTCCCCAGGACCCAGCATGATTTGAATTCAGCCCTTTCTGACAAGGCAGGAGCAACAAAATGGCGATGGGTTCTTTTGGCCAAAAGCTTGTGGCAGATCATGAGTCTAAGTATAGAACGATTAGCCACTACAAAGGTTGACTGACAGCACAAATGTGAAGGCAGTGTTAATTCCTCAATGGAGGGAGGGGTTAATGCAGGAAAAGTTGTTGGCTGAAACTAGATTTCTCTCCTGAAATTCAAGCATTATCATGAAATTAAAAAATAACTCACGAATTAATAGCTTCAGTGAGGGCATAATATTTCACCTAAAGCAAACAGAAATTATCTTTTGTGGTAGAAAGGTACACAAGTTCCAAACTAATAAATGCGTTTTATATTCACACAGTGCTAGATACTTTGTCATATGGTATCTCACTCAATCTCTGCCATCACTTGATGAATTAGAAATTATTAGCTTTGTTTTATGGATGAAAAAACAGAGAGGTTAAATGATAAGGCCACACAAAATGGCAGAGCTGAATTCGAAACCATGTCTCCAAAGCCTTGTGTTTTAACCATGAAACAGATATTGCTTTATTGCTTGAGCAGAGATGCTCTGTTTATGTATAAAAATTGCAAGGGTTGGGGCTCCTGGATGGCTCAGTCAGTTGAGTGTCTGACTCTTGGTTTCCACTGGGATCGTGATCTCAGATCCTGGGATCACCGCACATTGGGCTCCCCACTCAGCGGCGAGTCTGCTTCCCTTCTCTCTCCCTCTGCTCTTCCCCATACTCATGCATGTGCACTCTCTCTCTCTCTAAAATGAATAAATAAGTCATTAAAAAAAATTGCAAGGGTCTCTCCTTATACAATAGTATTACCTTAGCATGGCTTGTCACACAGCTAAAAGGCTTAGTAAATGTTATTTTTCCTTCTAACAATGCACTTAAAAAGCACTTTGGAATTTTAAAAGACTTGTACTTCTCTTATGTTAAATAGAGCTAAGGAAGGCATTACTACACCCACTTTACTGATTGAAATATTGAGACTTGTAAAGAGTAACTCTCTCCAATCAGAAAGTTTTTAAGTGATGCCATGGGCCTCACCCTCTGGGCTTTTCATTATACCTCATTCCCTACTTTTGGCAACACTATCCCAAATAGGCTATTAGAGGATCTAAAAATACAATCGTTTCTCCAAATATAAATGATTTTTTATCAAAAGGCAAATATTTCAGATGTCTATACAGCCATAGCAAAAACATTTCCACAGAGACAGAGTTTTGAACATGTGAGTCTCCTAAGATTGATAGATCTTTGGGATCTAACTAAAGCTACTGACTGATATCTTTGGGCTCTGGTTCTCCTAAAACAGCCACAAATATCATGCGGTTTACAGGCTCAAGACAGCTTAATGACCAAAAGTGCCTGCAAGCTGTTGGTGGGAGGCCATGAGGCATAAAAGAATGGCAGTGCTTGTAGGAGATGCGGTAATTGAGACCATGCCAATTTTTTTCTTGTTTGTTTCCTGACTATGAAAAGATTAAAGCAAAAGAAAAAAAAGAAAGGAAAAGAAAAATCAAACAACCAATGTCTGCCGCACAGCATCCAACAGCAATCACCTTAGCACGGCTAGTTGTACTTACAACAGCCTTAGCTTCATATTGAACGTTCAAGATTCAAAAAACAGCATGCCTGATTTTGCCCTTCCTTCCCTCTGCAGGATCACGAGAGGGGAAAGATATGCTTGCAGAAACAAGGAAAGAAGGAAGGAAGGAAGGAAAAAGAAAGAAGAAAGAAAGAAAGAAAGAAAGAAAGAAAGAAAGAAAGAAAGAAAGAAAGAAAGAAAGAAAGAGAAAGAAAGAAGAAAAAAAAAGCTTTGATTCTCCACACATATTTATTTATGCAGGAAGGAAAATGTCTTTGCTGCCATCTCTAGATGGAAGAGCCCTGTGTACTGGTGGAGACCTCCTGGCTCATAATGGGCACTCAAGAAATGCTTATTGGATGAGGAGCCTGGGGCTCTCAGAGGTGGAGATGACATCAATCCTATCAAGGAGGGACTTGCAATTGAAAACTTCTGACATTAACCCAGACAAAAGTGGACAGGCAATCCAAATAATGCACTGAGAACTTTGAGCAATCAAATAAATATGCGGCTTGATTTTTTTTTTTTTTACATCACTTATAGTCACAGACTGCTCAATTCCCAACCACCCTATGAGCAACCTTGATTCACAGACTATTAAAAGGAAGTCACAATCCATTCTGAACAGCGGCCTTCAGTAATGTAAATATGACTGGAGATGAGTAGAATGTTCTTAAAGAACCATGAGAAGGCATCTGTGAGTGAATCTTGCATAAGATTTTCCTTTCGGTTCTTTTGAAAGGTAAGGCGGATTGGCAGTTAAACTAGTTTCCACTTGGATATAAATTTGATTATTCTGGCAAGCTCAGAAGAGTTCTAATGATTCTAATGGATTCTTAAACTGCCCTAAGCAGTTCTCCACACTTGCCTGTTCCTACGGTCACCAGAGATTGAATCACGTGCATACGGGAAAGGAGTCAGGTTGGGGACTCGCCTGCCGACTTTGCGTCGCGCCATTCCCCACGAGCGTGGTCTATGACCTTATACCCTTAGATGCCTGTATGGCCCTTTATGTTAACTTTCTGTAATTTCTCATTCTTCCCCACCTTTTATATGACACCTTTCAATGGGAACCCACTGCACAATCACTTTGGATTGTTCTCTATTGTCTGAAACCCTTCTTGTGACTGTCTTCTGGGTCCGCTGCCCAGAGCCTACGTCCTTCACCGTGAAAAGCCCTAAGACACAAGGAGAGAAATGAGCTTATAAATGCAGTCTGGAGAGGTCAGACTAAATATTTTGTTAAAGGTCGTCTCAGGAGTGATATTTGTTCATTTGGCAGACC